GGGGGGGGGGGGGGGGGGGGGGGGGGGGGGGGGGGCTGCTGCTCCACGATGCGACCTTGATTCCGTCTAAGTCGATGCTGTACTTTGTGGAGTAACCATCGTACATCTGAGTAGTTCCAAATCTGTATCGTATATAGTTCACTGCCCTAGTATCCCACCATAGTCTATCGGTGGATATGAGAGAAGCTCGGCAAAGGATGGCAGCGGTCAGGAGATAGTCATCTCGGCTCATGGTCTCATAAGCCTTCGACAAGACGAGAGCGTAGGCAGGTATGATAAACTTGAAGTCACGGATCGATGCCATGCCAACGTCGTCGGAGAGAACACGGATAATAGTCTCAAGGAAGCTCACAGTCCAGTTTTTGTCGAGGCGATTAAAGAAAGCATAAGCCCGCACATAGCGTATGAGCAAACTTCTTCGATGAGGGGGTCCAACAAAGCTGTAGACGGGCCTACGATCTGTACCCTGATTGCAATGGCCAACATAAATGATTTGGCCGGGGTTCTATCGGTAGAGTCGCATCTCACTACAGATCCACGGGCGGTCGGTGGTCTTGTCGAAATCCTCGTTGACCTTGTCGTAAGCAACTATCACGGTGATTGTCTTGTACAGTGTCGAAAATGCCAGGACTTCTTCGATTAGGGAATCGCCGTCTAGGGTTTGATCAATAGAGATCAGAGCAACGAATAGGTACTTGATAGACATAGACTTGGCAACCTGTACTGCGCTGGCAATATTTCGAGAGTCACGAAGATTGCCGTCCCAGCGCCACGACAGGATAGCCATTTGTGACGCATTCTCAGCGGCAATCTTCACCAGTCGCACTGGCACTGGTTTCGTTGTTCTTCCCAGCTGCTCACCGTGTACGAGGGATTCCTTATCAACCTCGTCGATCACCAGTGCTTTGAATTCAGAAGTAGGTTGGTTAGCAAAGTCGTTCTCGTGGCGCGTGAGGGCCTGTGATCTAATTGTCGAGGTCGTGTGTTGTACGTATTTAGCAGACTTATCGGGCTCGCTGTACAGCCACTTAACATTTCTAGGCGTCAGCGGTGTACGTAGACGTGAAAGTAGCTACCTCTCCTCACCTTGACTTTTGGAGCGAGATGGAAGCCTTTATTGATTTTTCTGTCTTGAGAACCTTTCATTGTGTCACTGCAGCCCATCTTCACCGTGGTTGTGGTTAATGTTGTGATTGATATACGACACAACAGCTGCCAACTCAGCCTGGTCGGAGGCTCAAAGCAATCGAGCCGCTCTGCTTTGGTTGGACATTTTAAAGGTTTGTTATATAAATAAAACCTGCAAACAGAAGATATCTTATACACTTCCTCATATCATCATTAAAAAAAAAAAAGACACCCATCCTCAGTATAAGAGAAAAGTTAGAAGAACAGATAGACAACACCTCGCAAAGAACGCACGATGATAAAACATAGCCCTAATTCTACAACAAGGCAAGAAGGAAAAAGACTAGTCTATTTAATTATGCTGCACGATTATCCGATTGACGCACACTCCTCAGACACCGCTCAAGTCTCTTTCCTCGCTCCTTCTCACGGACAAGAGTAGCCTTTGCGAAAGCACGGATCGCATCTCGACCGACTTTCTCCCTCCAAGTTGTCCAGCCAGCTAGTTCGCTGACGACCACATCTTTGTTCCAGGTGATCTCGCGGGATAGGCGGGCGATCTGAGTTTCAGATTCCTGGATCTTGTTTTCTAGGTCGCGGACAGACTTTTGGCGGGATTCTTCAAGGCCGGGGAAGTTAAGGTTGAATTTTCGAGGGAGCGAGGAGGACACTAGGGAGGAGCGGGAGCGGGAGAGGGAACGGGATGTCGATGTGAGGGTGGATATTACGTTGATGGGGCGGGAGAGCGAGTCTAGAATGGCGGATGTGGTGTTGTCGATGGAGGTGACGTTGTTCAGGAACTGGAGGAGGGGAGAGGAGTCGGATGAGGAGGTTGAGAGGTGAGCGGCGTAGCGACTAAATGCGTCGACATGGGACTGGGGAAGAGCATTGGTAGGTTCCTTAAGGGTTGAGATGGCGGAGGAACATAGACCCAATGCATCCGCTATGTCGGAGGCAGAGTTCTGTAGAGCGTAGCCGCGACGGATCAGACTTCGCGTGTTGGCATGGACAGCGCGAACCATGTCTTGTGCATGTGTAACGAACTGCTCCGTCTCACGCATACCCTCCTGGGTCACGGGCTCATAGTCGTCTGCGATTGACTCGTAGAGTACTTGCGCTTTGCGACGAGACCGATCGGCCATCATCTCCGGCTGGAGTTCTGGGACGAGAAAGAACTCCCAGAGCATTTCGTGGGTTGAAAAGGTTGGGTGAGAGAGTAAAATCTTGAGAAACCTATCTAGCTTTGCCTGCATGTCGTGAAGAACCGAGCGAGATGGCTTCGAGTGGATCTGGAAGGGAGAGCGGAAATCAGAGAGCAAGGGCATGTATGAAGCGGGGTGCTCAATGGAAAGCCATTTTGCGAGATTCTCGAAGTCTGTGTATGTGCGTTTACACGTTGTCACGGTGTAGCTGGTGGTAGGCGCCAGCCTGGATTCGGCGGAATTCGGCGGAGGATTGGGGGCCCCCGACTTGAGAACAAAGCGTACGGTTGCATCTTCCACGAAGAATGAACGGACTACGGTGGTGACCCGGCCGGAGGGGTCGTCCGTTGCTGAAGGCGGATTGGAGATGAGAATCAGATCATCAATGCGGTTTCGCACTTCATCATCCTTCGCAAGTTCAACAGCCGTAAGTCCACGGGCCTCTTTAAGATGCACATCCACCCTAGGGTCCATGAAAAGAATCCGAACTTGATCGATGCGGCCATATTTGCTGGCCATCATCAAAGGGGTGAACCTCTTGTCATTCGTCGCATTTGGATCACAATCGCATTCTTGCAGAATCTTAATGGTAATATCAGGGTCACTAACGATATGGAGCAAAGTATTCCCTTTCGCATCAATATGGTCGTCCAGACGCAGTGGCCGGCCATCGCCTTGAGATTTCTGAGCAGCCGTCAACGCCTCCTTAACCATCGAGCTGTAGTCAGGGTGATCGTAGGATCTACATAGAGCAAACAGCGGCGTCTGCCCATGCTTATCACGTTGACGCCAGGGAAGCAATGTTTCCAGCTTATGCATCACTGAAGGAGTGCTGAAGAGATAATGAGCGACAGTGCGTCCATGAATATCTGACTTCCTCAAGTAGGAGACGATCGTTTGCTCGTCTGTTGTGCTGGAGAGGTAGTCGAGTATGATGTCTACCATCTCGGTGTGCGCAAGTTGGACAGCTGCATTCAATAATGTCGTTCCATCTGTATTCGTATCATCAAGAATGTCTTCTAGGGGATAGTACTCCTCCAGAGTGAGTAGGTACTTCAGGGCTTCTGGTTGGCGATTCTCAACTGCCATCATGGGAATCGAATGGCCGGCGGGATCCTGGGTCTTTGTTAACGTCTCAATTGAGCTGTCTCCTTCGATCGTACTCGTCATGGACCCCATCGTCGTCGTACGAGAAGCGAATGAAATAGCCGAAGACTCGGATAGACTGCGGACATCCATGGAAACCTTCTTGATAGGGCGCCGGATTTCTTCCGGTGGAGAGCTGCTTGCCCATGCCTGAAAAGGGAATACGTGTGCTAAAGGTGGTGTATCCGATGGGGTATCATGAATCGCTAGTTCACCATTGCTTTCGTTGCGCCCACCAAGGATGGGCAGGGACAACGGAAGTCGATCATGTTCATTGTCCTCGTCGGTTCTGAATAGAACTCGACTCCCTTCAGGTTCACAAGGAATATCATCTATCGAGTCTTGACTACCGTCTGGTTCCAGGATAGCTCTCATATCAGCAATGCGTCCAGTTTTAGTTGCATTCCATAAGCGCTTGTTCCGGATGCTCGATCTTCGAAGGCCTGCAGAATCAGTCACAAGGTACGTAAGGACTGCTTCAAAAGTACTCAGAGCGTAGCCCATTTCTCCACTGTCAACATCGTCAACATAGATGAAGTGCTGCATATACAACAATCGTGCTTGTAAATGCTTGGTTTGAGATCTAATGACCACGACAAGCAACAATGAAACCAAAACATCAGCGTTCACTGTTACAGGTGCATTCTGCTTCTCAGATGCTTGTGGGTCGGCTTTATCATAATTACCAGGATACGACAGGATCTTTACCGTTTCCAGCAAGATGTTCAGCATATCATGGGGACATTTGGCATCCAGCATTTTGCGGAACTCCTCCACTGCTTTACCAAGACGCTGCAGTAACTCCCGCTTGCCTTCTCGACCACCCTCAACGACTATTCCCACCTGCGAAACGTCTATGCTCTCCATCTGGCGGATCCTTGTGTCCAACTCCGTATCTTCGGGCTGGCGGAAACTACAAAGGCGGGGGAAAAGAAGAGATTCGTGCACCTGCTCAGCAACGTAGCGTTCGATCAATCTCTCGACAAGAGGTCCAGTCAGATCAGTCGTGGCACCGAGAAAAGACAACTGTTGTTTGTCCACCAATCGAAAGAGGTCAATGGCTGCGGTAACCGCTGTCTCCAGGCTGCGACGCATGAGGTCCTCATCATCTTCAAAGTACTCTTCCGAGTTGAATGGAAGCCCATCTTTAAATCGGGACGATGAACTGCGTACGGAGGCAGTCTCATCGATAGGTGCTTCATCGCGGTCACGTTTCCAGTCAAAATCTTCGGACAATACAGGGGAGCGTGATGGAGGGGGAGGTAATGGTTTGCCTAATTCTTTCCCGAATTCCCGGAATAATCTCTCTAACCCAGGTTGCATCTGCCTTGCGATCATTGGGAAATGTGACAGTAGTTCTGCAAAGGTCTTGATCTCCTTCTTTGCGGGCGAGGAGACCGACTCCCCAGACTTGGCACTGCTGCCTGAAATACTCCTCTTTGGCAGTGTCCCTGGCACCACAGCAGAAATGATCTTGCCGGGTTCGAACGAACCGATTAATGGTCGGGAGATGTAGTAGATAAGCCATGGTTGGGACCCGTTGCTTGGTGTGTAATAGAGGGCGTCAGACAGCAGCTGGGCTTGGGTCAAGGACTTGAACCCTAGAAATGCGGTTTAGCACACGAGAAAGAACTAAGGAACGGTCTCCCTTTCCCCCACCTTTATTGCTATAAACTGAATTCTCTTTTATGATTACAGTGCGGCCATTGACGGTAGTCACCTGCTTTGCCTTCCCCCTACTGTCGCGGACATTCAGATCATCCTTTGTTCCGGCGGTTCCATTTGTGACGGGAATTCGGAGCGCATGGCTGCCTAGAAATTCTTCGGAGACGACGAGATCGGAATAGTAGAGAGACGACTCACGATCGCGGGAGCCGATTAGTGATTCGGTCACAGGAACAAGGAGAACCTAAAGAATGATGTTAAAGCCCGTCACTCAAGTATAGCCCCGCATAGTTCCGCTGGACGTACATGGTTCTCTGTCGGTATACACTGCCCCGGAACAGTGCTTCGGAAGAAGGCACGCAGGAAAGGGTTTAGAGGGTGCATCCAAACGGTCTTGGACGACGTCCCAGTGAGAAAACTCCAGACTTCATCAAGTCGTTGTGGTTCAATTCAAGAGGGGATTTGCGCTGCTCGATCGCCACAGGGGAGGAGCAGCTCCGGCGCATGTGCTTGCGGGCGAGATATAAACAGAAACTCAACGTGCTGGGAAATGGCGCAGTCAAAGCTACTAAAAGCAAAAGAGATGATAAACGAAAGATGACGCAAATTATGTAAATCTCGGGAAAATCAATGGTCCAGGACAAGGAGAAGCAGCGTTTCAGTTACAACAGCTTTCGCGGAGGCCGCAAGAGCTCAGCGCGCTATACCGCATTAGGCAATACTAACTTGTTGACGGATTGGAATCTAGACAACAATCTGATGCCAATCGCATAGAACCACATAAAGCAGGTAAACTAGCAGTTCATTACTACTATACGTAGGAGGATTATGAAGATCTCGCATGATTGAAAAATATCCCGTGTATTCCCGGTACCAAATTGGCTAATATACAGATATAAGTGACAGAACAAACCATTTCAAAAGAGCCTCTCTTCTCTTTCCCTCCAACAGATGCATATACAATGCTGGGCTGTGATTCGGTTATCAATGCTGGAGACATACCGCATGGCAGGTAACATTCTCTGCCGCCACTCAAGATACTAATAAGTCGAGAATGGTAGAACGGCATTGCCCTTCAACCACAGCATTCCCAGGTGGATGTATGACCAGAGAAGGCCGCCCCGAAACCCAAGATATGAAAGGATCTAACCCAGTCTCCGCACCTTCCTGCTCCTGGTACCACCAAACTTTATACGAGTCGAGTCCGTTACGCGGCTGACCAGCCCACGAATGTTCTTACCCTCGTTACCCAGCAGAACCTTGGTGAAAGCCTCACGGCCCAGTCCAAACCCGCGAAATACGATCTCCAGGCGATTGATATCAAGAAGATAGCCCCGTTCCTGCATCTGACCGAACACATGGGACGTCAATTGGTATGCTGGGTCGTATCCCGAACGGTGCCCTTTGCGGAAGCCGAGATGACCGCAGCTCATCGATAACAGCGGGTTACCATTAGGTCGTGTCAAGGTCAAAATGGTGTTATGCTTATGTGAGAAGACGTGTAGGTGATGCGGAGGAGCACGGTCGGCGTAGGGTTGCTTAATCATTTCGGCTTCCAGGCTCTCTGCCATCCTGGAGTAATCACGGCTCACATTCTGATTCGTGCGAGTCCTCTCTCCCTGCATCATCTTGGTGATCGCGGAGAGTGCAGAGTTCTCATCGGTGGCTGCCTCGGGCTTCGCTTTCAGAATCTGTCTCTCAATTTGCCGGGTCTTGTCTTTAGCATCCGACGCGGATGTTCCATGGGTTGAGGAGAACGGTCTGATGAGCCGAATCGAAGAGGTATGAAGTTGGCATTGCCGACCAACTGAAGGCAACGCCTTCAACAGGGAACTCGCAAACGTAGTGTTCATCTTTTGCTAGGGAGGCAGAAATGTCGGGGATATGCGACGAAAGTAGTCGGAAAGAGCGTGGCGGAGAGACCGACCAACGCAGGGAAAACAGGAGGGCGATGATACGGGGTGTGTCACGCAAACGAAGGCAATTGGGCAATCCTAAGTAAATAGGTCGATCTGGTCGCAAAGTACCTCGGGCAGTTGAGATCGTGAACGGCGCAACGGTGGTTCGGGACAGAAGGCGGCGGAAAAGGGCCCGAATTTTCGAGTCTTGGCATTTGCATCTCAACTTTTTCTTTCTCCCTCTCCATTGACTCCGCGGCCGAAATCGCTTCTTCCTCGCCTCCACATCCGACTCCTTCAATTCCCCTTCACCCTCGGGGCATTGCTGATCTCATACTCTTTTTGAGTCCTCTTTTTCATCCTTCTGACATCTATTCATATCATACATAGCATGATTTCGGCTACTAGAATGTCGGCCACCGCGCGGACGGCCACCTTGCGGTCTCAAGTACCGAGTTTGAGAACAGCTGCTTCTCAACGGTCATCCATCCAGGCTTACTCCTCATCGACATCGCCTACAGCCAGAATCTCCCTTTCCTCCAATACCGAACGCGCAACCCGTCCTGTCTCCCAAATCCTTTCCCCGTACGCTGCTCTTCCACTCACGCGATCCTTCCATGTCAGCACTTCTCGCTGGCAACAACAAGAACAGAAGAAGGAGAAAGAACCCGAGGAATCCAAGGAATCTAAGGAATCTAAGGAGGAAAAGGATGAAGGCAAGTCTGAGGAGGAAAAGAAGAATGCGCCTCCTCCCCCTCCTCACGGAGACAAGACTCCCTGGCAGGTCTTCAGAGAGACTCTGCAGTCAGAGTTCAAGGCCTCCAAGGAGTGGAACGAGTCCACCAAGGCTCTTGCATCTTCAGCACATCAGTTCACAGAGAATGAGAACATTAAGAAGGCTCGTGCCGCCTACGAAGCCGCCCATGGAGCGGCTGCGACTAAAACCGGAGCTGCCTTGAAGTCAACCGGTCAAGCCCTTGGCAAAGGAGCTTCCTGGACATGGAATACTCCCGTCGTTAAGGGTATCCGAAAGGGTGTTAACGCGACCGGTTCTGGAATCGAGAAGGCGACGCGGCCCGTGCGAGAGACTGAGGCTTACAAGAACGTCAAGGATGCCATCGACGATGGCAGTAGCTCCCGTTATGGTGGCTATATTGACAAGGAAGAGCGCCGCAGATTAAGGAAGAAGCGTGAAGAGTTGGAATTGAAGGCTGGTAAGCGGATCGAACCCATGGTTGAAGATCCAAAGTAAGTCGCTCTCCCAAGATTGTATTGGTCATTCCGTTGCTAACCTTGCGCTCCCTCCCAGTGCCGGTACCAACGTCACACTTCATAAGGACTCTGCCTGGAAGGAGTCATGGCGCGACTTCAAGGACTCCAACCCTATGATGCAGAAACTCTTCGCTTTCAAGGAAACCTATAACGAGTCTGAGAACCCATTGATCAGCACTGCCCGCAGCATTTCCGACCGCGTGGCTGGATTCTTTGCTGAAAATGAAACTGCTCAAGTCATTAAGAAGTTCCGTGAAATGGATCCCAACTTCCAGATGGAGGAATTCTTACGGGAGATGCGTGAATATATCCTTCCTGAGGTTTTGGACGCGTACGTCAAGGGTGATGTTGAGACCCTCAAGCTTTGGCTCTCCGACGCTCAATTCAGCGTCTACGCCGCCCTCGCCAAACAGTACACAACTGCCGGTCTCAAGTCCGATGGTCGTATCCTCGATGTCCGTGGTGTTGAAGTCATGAACGCCCGTATGTTGGACCCTGGCGATATTCCTGTGTTCGTGGTGACCTGCCGTTCACAGGAAGTACATGTGTACAAGAACGTGAAGACCGGCGAGCTTGCCGCTGGTATGGAGGATAAGGTCCAGCTGGTCACTTACGCCATTGGTCTCACGAGGATACCGGAAGATGTTAATAACCCGGAGACCCGGGGTTGGAGATTGATCGAGTTGCAGAAGGCTGCTCGTGACTACATCTAAACGGCCCCGAACACATTTTTCCCTTCAGCGTATCCATTCTTCCTCATTCGACGATCATATTATAACCGACCAACCATGTCTTGATTATCGGCGATTTTTGATGAATTACCTCCCCAATATTTCTCTTCTCCATTGTTTTGATATCATCCGACTGTACAATATGAACTTCCCAAAACTCATAGAGCCAGGTGGAACCAGTGCTTCAGGTTATGTGTGATAGTAGCCATTGCTAATTTTGCTGGATGTTCTTTTTTTTTCTTCCTTTTCTCTCTTTGTATCCATTTCCCCGACTGCTGCCTTGGTGTGGGTTTCAGCTTCTCCGGTACACACGCGACTGGAAGGCGATACCTCAGCCCACGGTAACAGTGTCATTTCCATACATAAGTTGGTTTAATGGTTTGCCTGGCGTATTCGGCGTTTGCTGCTATTGACTGCAAGATCAACGCTCCACTCTCCCCATCACTTGCATCTGGATATATGTCCAGCTTGTTTGCCATTATATATTATAGTCCTATAGCCATGAGAACTTATTACTTATAAAACTTTTCCCTACGCTACTCAAGAGACCCATTGGCTACTAGTATTTAAATACTCTACTCATGCAAAATAAACTTAGATTTTGAAGAGAATCGAATTTTTGTTACCGTTGGCCTAATCGTAGACATAACTATATATTTATATTCACTCCGTAACATAAGGACCAAGTTTTGCTGAGATGTACATAGCTAAGTGTAGGTGAAAAATATTTAATATGAATGATTCCTCAAAGTAAGCGAGATATCAGGAATGTAATAAACATCAGAGCAGTCTCGTATTTATTGACCACGTCCGGCACCACCGGCACCACCACCACCACCACCACCCATTAGATTCCGAGCCCTGCACAAATTAATTAGCTTCAGAGCACAACATTGTCATTTACACAAGTGTAGGACTTACATGTCAGCAATGTTAGGGTCACTCATAAGGCTTGACATATCTGGCATTCCACCACCACTGCCGAAGTTCTCTGCCATCTGCCTCAACTGAGGGTTGCTCATGAGGTTGTTGAGCATGTCCGGGTTGCTCATCAGATTCTGAGCCATGCTGGAGAACATAGGGTTACTCATGAGGGAGCTAAGGTCGGGCATGCCGCCGCCACCGCCACCGCGGCCGCCACCCATCAAGCCGGCGAGGGAAGAGAGATCCGGCATGCCACCAGCACCACGGCTAGCTCCAGCGGCATCGTCAACAGCATCAGCAGGAGGTTCGGCACCACGAGTAGATTCCGCGATCTTTCTCTTGGAGGTCTCCAAACCTCTCTTCATGGCCTCACTGCCGCCATTGCCTTCAGCCTCGATACCCTTCTCATAGGCCTCCTTAGCGCCGTGGAAATCAGCCAGGTCGAAGCGAGCAAGACCCAGACGGCTCCATGCCTTGGAATACTTGGGATCGACAGCAGTGGCGAGCTCGGCATCCTCGGCTGCCTTCTCGTGCTGACCGGAGGCAGAATAGGCAGCAGCGCGGTTGGAGAGGTAGATAGGGTTGGAGGGGGCAATGGACAAAGCCTTGGTGTAGAGATCGATAGCGGAATTGTAGTCCTTGCGTGCCATGGCAGCGTTACCCTCCGACTTCAGCTTATCAGACTCGGCAGTAGGAGCACCGGCTTGGGGCTTCTGGCTGGAGCTGGCCTGCGCTCCGGCACTAGCAGAGTCACCCTTATTGCGGAGCTTCTCGTATACACTATAGATGCTAGCAAGAGACTGACCGCCGACAGCCTCCTTCACAGCAGCTTCATTGGAAGGATCAACCTTGAAGGTATCCGCGATGCACGACTGAGCGATTTCGATCGATTCTGCGTCATCAGCAGTAAGGGTTCCATCCTTCAAGCTGGAGCCCAGAAAGTCGATGATTGCAAGCGCCAAGCGCTTCTTGGACTCGGTAGGAGCCTAGAGATGAGGTATGTTAGCAACGGCAGTGAACACAGGATGCGCAACCTAGGACTCATGCCATAATATAAAAATCCGCCGGGGTATCGCTGTAGAAAGTGCTTCACTTGTCTGAAGAACGATCACCGTCGCGGGGGATTTTGATGCGGGGACTAAAGCAGTAACTCTGTTTGGCACGTTTGCCTGCAAGCTCCCGTGCACGTGATAGCCGTTGCTGCCGTCACCCTCATCATCCGATATACAATTTGCGTTTCTATACGTCGCAGTCGGAAAAAGTATTAGATGATTATGGTCGGTTATCCTGGGATTGACTCTGTCCCGAGTCCGACAGAATAACTTTTCTACGCCTGACGAAGATGACTCAATGTCAGCTCGCTCTTCACGACTTTCTCACCTGTGACGAGCCATGTACTGGCCCAATGGAGTACCTCGGGTCTATGCGGTCAATGGCCCTGCGATTCCCTTCGTGCCGTCCGACGATAATGAAGAATTAGATTTGGAGCGCTCTGTGGAACAGAGACTGTCGCTGAATGATAATGGACCCAAGGAACCGTCCAAGGCGGAGGTTGCCTGGGCTGACGAGGCCATTGACGGCCTCTGCGTCTCTCGGAGTGGTCATATGTTTGCGACTATGACGGCTACTTCAATAGTTGTGTGGCAAACAAGAGTATGTCTCGGTTGAGTGATACCTCCTTCGACGTATACATGTGTTGACTGGCCCCTAGCCGACCGCTGTTGTCGCTGCTGTCGCCCGATCCGCTTCGTCGCTTAGCACTTATGGTCCAAATGTAGCTTTGCTGATGCACCCCGACTCGACGATAATCGTTGTTCAGACGCTTAACGGATACCTCCTCACCTATACGGTTGCTACCGATCCACATGGTTATGTTTATCAGCAGCATTTCGATCACTCTACCCAAACCCGCCGGCAGCAGCTTGCCCGCGAGGAAGATGCGAATGGCGTCCGGGATGCCAGTATTCGCTTCAGGATGGCTATTAAGATAGAGTCCGGAATTGTGAAAGCTCTGGCGCTGGACAACGAGCTTGTGGTTGCTACCGTTAAACCCGCGGCAATTCAATGCATTAGATGGACACCTGATGCGCAAGGCACCCAAACGACCTCGGAATTGCTAAGCCGTATATTGAGTGTGTCTAAGCGGACATCTATTACAGAGATGGTGTACGATCGTGCTATCAACCTCTTGGTTTGGGTTACAAATGAAGGACAGGCGTACGCAGTTCAACGCGTACCCGAGGGCTCGCGTGACCCGGAGAACCCAAAGAAGCTCTTCAACGGTCACTGCTTCCACAATCCGAAAAACGACGGCGAGAAAGCGCTCAGGGTTGCCGTCAATGCTCGGTTCTCGCTGCTTACTGTGAACTGCGCCAACGGTGACATCTTCGTGTATACCGCTAAAGACTACCTTGGAAATGTCCCACTATCTCATAAACTGCAACTCCCAGCATCGCCTCATACAACAGGCAATTTAAGCTTCATGTCCTACTCGCCGGATGGATACTGTCTCTTTGCAGGCTATGAACGTGGTTGGACAACATGGAGCGTGTTCGGCAAGCCGGGAGGAAATAGTTTCTCGACGGACAGGTCTCTTGCTGAGACCAATGCCGAGGATTGGCTAACAGGGGTCTCATATGGATGCTGGATAGGTGGAGGCTCAGATATTATTTTGACCGCACAGAATGATCGCCGCCTATGGATTCTGGAGACGGCACGGAGCGCTTTGACAGGCTGCTTTTCATCCGCTAATCTGGCTAGAGGCTTACTACAAACTGGAACCGAGATCATTCTGTATCGAGGGCATGACTTACCCGACCTTATGACTATCTCCGGCAAGGACTCCCTCTGGCATCATGCGCAATATCCCCCGACCTACCTCCACTCACAGTGGCCAATTCGTTCCAGCGTAGTGTCCCAGGATGGGAGATACGTAGCAATCGCAGGTAGAAGAGGCTTAGCACATTACAGTGTCAGTAGCGGACGCTGGAAAGTCTTTGAGGACTCTAAAATGGAGAACTCGTTTGCAGTTCGGGGTGGTATGTGCTGGTACGGACATATCTTGATAGCCGCCATCGAAAGCGACGGGTCATACGAGGTGCGTGCCATATCTTATCAAGAATGCGTTGTATCGAACTAACTGATATAGCTGCGTTTATACTCACGAGAGCTGCCCCTGAATAATCAATCGATCTTGCACATTGAATATCTCCCTTCACCCGTGGTCTTCATCGGCCCGTCGGGGGAGGACTCTATCCTCGTCTACACATATGATAACATCCTCTATCACTTCATTATTAATTCAATGCACACTCGAATCACACTTGTTCCAGTCGGCCAAATTGCGTTTAACGGCATTGTGCGAGCGCCCACGCGAGTCCGGGCGATCAGCTGGGTCTTGCCGGAAGATCAAATGCGTGAGTGTGTCTATCCCATGTGTGCATGTTGCTGGTCTGACAACACCAGGTGATGGCGACCCATCTCAAGATGTGAAAGTGGCTTCTGTTCTTCTTTTGGTCGACGGCAATTTAGTTCTGCTACAGCCGTCTCAATCGCCCGCCGGAGATTTGAAGTATGACATGCGGGTGGTATCGCATGATGTCGAGTACTACATTCTGATGCGTGACCAATTGTCATTCAACTTTGCTCCCCCCATGGAGGAATCTCTTCCGGCCAGCCCGTCCGCTGAAATGGCTTTGAATATGCATCATCATACCTTATCATTGAGAGACTCTCTCTGGACCTTTTGTGGCAAAGACCTCCTTGCTTGGGGTGATGTGCAAGATGTCCTGCGACGAGAAGATGCCCCGAAAGCGATTGAGATACCCCTAGACTTTTATCCTCTATCCGTTTTGTTGAACAAGGGCATTGCTTTGGGAGTCGAGTCAGAAATGACCCAACGACGCGATACCACTTTTGCTGTGCTGAAGTTTGCCATTCGAGTGAGTCAAACCTACCTTTGCAATAGCCCCTTGACTAACGATACAGACACACCTCTTCCTTCCGTACTTCTTGCAATATTCCTTAATTCATGGAGATATGCCGGCTGCGCTGTCACTATGTCAGCATTTCTCCCATCTTTCATACTTCCCGCATGCCCTCGAAATCCTCCTTCACCACGTTTTGGACGACGAAGTCGACAACGAAAGTCGAGATAGCAAACTGGAGGACCCTTCGCAGAAGCATGATCCTCTACTCCCATCGGTTATCTCCTTCCTTCAAGCCTCGCTTCCTGCGCGGGTGTATTTGGACATTGTTGTTCAATGCACGCGAAAGACCGAGCTTCGTTCATGGCGCACTCTCTTCACCTATCTCCCACCTCCAAGAGACCTGTTTGAGCAGGCTCTCAGACTCGACTCTCTAAAGACAGCCGTCGGCTACCTTCTAGTGTTACAGGCGTTTGAAGATGACGATGGCCACGAGGCACCCATTGAAGACTATGTCGTTCGACTGCTCGTGTTAGCCTCGCAAAAAGGCGACTGGGAACTTTGCGCCGAGCTGGCAAGGTTCCTCATTGCTCTCGACAGGTCAGGCGAGATGCTCCGACGAGCTATTGAGCGAACGGGTCTCCGAAACGGGGGCCTCCCTGGGGCAGGCCTAAACGGATCCGGAACAAGTGTCAAAGGACTCGGCCTAGCAATCACACCATCCTGGTCGTCACTCTCTGCCGCATCATCTGTCTCACCCCGTCAAAGCATATCTCGCCAGGGGAGCAACACATCCCGGACCCAAGACAGAATGGACAGCGTTGACGAAGTTTCCTGATATATTGCCACATCTGTACATAACATAACATACCATCCCCGCAACCATACATAGCCATACATAACCAAATCCATAGCATAACTCGATTGAATCGTTGAAATCCATTTGCCTTTGATAATAACCTTACAATAAATACATATATCTATAGATGATCATCATCACTTCATTCCATGCATAGGTAGGTATCAATCCACTCCCCACAACATACCCAAACCAACAATTAAAAATAAACAAACAAGCACACCCCCCAACCCAACCCAACCCAATCCAACACAAAACACTCATAAAAAAAGAAACACCCCTGGGAGAAAAAGAACTAATCAATCAAGATGCATCTTCCACAACCCATCCCCAAGATAATGTCCATCCTCCATAACAACCCCCTTCCCCTTACTCTTCATATCCTCAGTGCCCACCTTCAACGTCCCCACAAGACACGCCGTCTCCTTCCCCTCCGCCATAACAGCAACCACCTGTCCCGCCTCCAACGCATTCTCTTTCTCCGGTAACCGGCCCCCGGGACTCGTTAATCCGGGTGCCATGAGCGCTGCGCCGGATAGCACGAACCGGATCGCGCCACGGTCGATTTGAACGGTTGGTAGGGCGGTGGGATATTGGTGGAGGAGTTTTAGGTGGGGGATGGGAGGGCCGTCTTGGGGTTGGTAGAAGAGGGGTGTGGAGTCGATTGTGTAGAGGGTGCATTTTTCGGGGCTGTATTGGTTCACTCTGTTAGTATATGTTTTTGCGTTTTCTATTCTTGTGCTATGGTTGGGGGTGGTTGTGGTGGTGGTGGTGGTGGGGGAGTGTTTGGTATATGAGGGGTTGGTTGGGTTTATTTATCTATTTCATATAGATGCGATATAGTGCGATATCTCTTTGTATCGGGGGGCATGGGGTATGTATCAAGAAAGATAGGGCATGAAGTAAAAGAAAAAAAAGAAAATGGAGAGGTACAGTTTGATAGCATCGAGCTGAGCTTTCTTCGGCAGGATATCATCAATGTAAGGTTCGAAGCCTGGGTATGCTTCAACAAAGCGTTGGCGGAGGCCGCGCTGCACGCTAGACTTCACTTTTGAGCGATTGCTCGGGGGGATCCTATAATTATAATTTCATTGTTAGTCTGGATTCCTTTTTGGAGGGATGTTGTTTGTTTTTTTCTTCTTTGGTGGTGTTTTTTGAAAGGTGTGAGGTCATGGGTATGGGCGTGTATCGGAGTCTGGGATTGTTTGCTTGCGAGGGTTTTCTTGGATTTGGGGGGTTTCGGGATGGAGGAATTGATTGGAGTTCCTGTCGGAGGTTGTTTTCATAGCTTGAAATGGTATTTACTTACTCTTTTTTGAACATTTTGCGTGTTTTTTGTGGTTGATGTTGTTTCTTACGATGAGGTCAAACTGCGCGCTTGGCGGGGAGAGGTTGACGCGGGGAAGGGCTGCCAGCGTCACGTGTTGGGCTTGGTTATTTATCGAATTATTGCAATTACACTATCAAGCACATGTTTTATTTACGAAAAAAAGATGGTTCGTGGTATAAATTGTTATTTTTCATTCATATCATCTACAATTTAAGGTATCTGACTTAACCACGGGCGGCACCAGCCTTGATCAGGAGGACATCACCGTCCTCAACGACGTAGTCCTTACCCTTGGTCATGACCTTACCAGCGGCCTTGACGGCGGCTTCATCGCCGTACTCACGCAGAGTAGCATAGTTGTACACAATGACCTGGATGAAAGTCTTCTCGAAGTCGGTGTGAATGACACCGGCAGCAGCAGGGGCCTTGATACCCTTGCGGATGGTCCACTGGCGGACTTCGTCGGCACCAGTGGTAAAGAAGCTGGCCAAGTTCAACGATTTACGCATGGTGGTGATCACCCTGGGCAGAGCAGACTTGGTTTCCAACTTCTTGCACTCCTCGAGGGCCTCCTGCTCAGTCTCAAACTGGGTGAGGCGCTCCTCGAAAGAGGCAGAGAAGGGGAGCAGAGGGTCACCAGGAGAGTTGTCATCGATCCACTTCTTGACAACAGGGAGGTACTTGTTCTTCTGGCGAACATAGTCTCTTTCGCTCAGGTTGACTAGGTAGACAACGGGCTTAGCAGTAAGGAGCTGGAGGGGGTTGATGACCTCAACCTAGAAATTGTTAGTGCCATGCATACAAAAAGGCATTGACAGTGACAATAATAAAGACAAAGTAATATCAGATAGGACGTAATCTCATGTGACCTCGCGTTGGTATAAGAGGAGGCCTTTCGACGAGCTGGGTTATATTCGAGCAAAGCTCTTATTCATCATATGAAACTTGGGCTGAGGAATTGGTAGGGGAAGAAAAAAAAACATATTCACATACCTCCTTGGGGCTCCAGTCGGCCTTGCGGACATCGTTGCCGGCCTTCAAGTGCTCGAGGACCTTGGCAACAGTGGCCTCCTCCTCGCGCAGCTTCTTCATCTCCAAGGACTGTCCACCGCGCTTCGTCTGCTTCGTCAAACCCTCCAGAGCCTTCTCAACGAATTCAATATCCTTGACCCGGAGCTCCTCGCTGATGATGTTCAGATCACGAGAGGGATCGACGTCACCCTCGACGTGAATAATCTCAGCATCATCGAAGCAACGCACGACCTGGAAGATGGCATCGACGGCACGAATGTGGGACAAGAAAGCGTTACCGAGACCAGCACCGGTAGAGGCACCACGAGTCAGACCGGCGATATCATAGACCGTCAAGTTGGCAGGAACCTGCGACTTGGGCTTGTAGTGCTCGCACAACCAGTCGAAACGCTCATCAGGGACGATGACACGCGCCTCTTCAGGGTCAATGGTGGCATAGGGGAAGTTGGCCGGGTTACCCAAGTTGGACTTGGTAATGGCTTGGAAGAGCGTCGATTTACCGACGTTGGCAAGACCAACCTATGGCATGTTAATGTTGAACATTTTTGTTTCCCTTGACAGGACTACATGGTGTGTAGAAAGGGAAAGGGAAAGAGAAAAAAATTTCAGGGGAAGGTGAGGATAGTGTGCTTAAATAGGGTTAGGGAAAAAAATAAGATGGCTGGGAAGTGGGCGTAAAAAAAAAAAAATAGCCGGTGGGGTCAATGCTCACATACGATACCGCTCTTCAGGTTATTTCCTGGACGGCCCAGAAGGACCTTCTCTTGTACAACAGCTTTCTTGGGAGGCATCTTTTTGTTGGATTTCTTCTTCTTGCTGGAGTAGCTCCGGTAGGAGAAGAAAGAGAAAGTGGACGGAGGGGTGACGCGGGGACGGCAACAGTAGGATTGGAGGCGCGAGGCCAAAGCAGGACCAGCTGCGGTTCGTTCTATTCGGAGGGGAAAAGAAAGGAAAAGAAAAACGGAGGGGGATTGGATGGACGACGTTTTGACGGTGCCCACCAGCAAGCTGTGGGCGAATTGAACGGGAAAGAAGAAAAAATTAGGGAAGAGGAGGGGTCAATGAGGGGTAGCAATGGTCGATTACTGGTACACCTGAGCGTATGATGGAACTTTTTTTTTTTCTTGGTGGTTGATTATGAAAAGGCAAAATAAAAAAAAATTCAACGTGTTCTCCAATTGCTAAGAGTTTTTTCCTATGACGCGCTCTGCTCTCTCGCCTAAACACACCGTGACCTCTCCCTCCTTCCGTTCTTCTTCACCGCCCACGTGAGCTGATAGCCCTCGTCAAGTGGCCTGTGCTTCCGGAAGCATGGTTTCTTACGTCATACTCAAGAAATTCACGAGATTGCCCTCTACTGACCCTCCATGAACGGAATACCGAATTGTATAAAATGTAAATACTAAAGAATCATGAAGCCGAAATGTTGAGTCCCATTGGGCACTATTCGCAACGGATAGACTAATCTACTCAGGCCTTATATATAGTTTTGCTGTAAGCTACATACCTTCTAGGTAGAAAGAACTGATTCACAAGGTCATTATATATATTGCTCCTTGGTCACGTAACTAATATACACTCCACCGTTCATACTCGCCCGCACTGGGTATATTCATCAAAAATTTCCATCATAATAACGCCGCGGAGAGGTGAGTAGTCCTAAAGCGAACAATAAGGTCAATCAGCCTTACGAGGTGGTCATGGCTAATGTTGGCCTTGACGAATCCCTAAGTCAACCATACACCCCGTGAACCTAACTGTGGAAGAGACCCGCTTCATGCCTTGCAACGGAATACACTGCAGCTGGCTAAAGAACTAAAACCTGTCTACATATCTTCGAGTAAAAAATTAGGCCTGCAAACACGAGACCCTTCTAGTCACTGGTTAGTGCACTTAGATTATTTGCGCACAGACCAGCTGAGTATGTCCGCCTCAAAGGCGAGAGGTGACGGTTATCTGATCCGCAGGCAGTTGCCATCTTTGCTACACTGCAAGAATGGTTCTCTTTTATGGGCTGCAGTTCATTAATGGTGCCTGGTTGAACCAGGCCGGCAGCATAGCATACCTACATTGTGGCCTTCACTGCAGCTTCCGCAATAGAGCGGTATTCAGCGCACTGCTTCACAAGGCGCTGTATTCCCTCAAAGGCTTTGCAGAAAGTGTGAGAGGACAGAAACTCCTCCGTCCGGTCAATTAACTTCAAATTGTATCCTCGATAAGCATCTTGCGGGTTACGTATGATACTCCATGAAAGCGTCATTGACGCAATCATTGGGTAATAGATCAAAGACCTTCAAGAAACGTTAGCAGCTTTCAAAGCGAAGGGGGTCCAGTGACACTCACCCCAAAAAAGGTGTATTCTCCTGCGACAAATATTTTGTAAGCTTGATAGCTGCTCTAGCGGCTTTGGTGCAGAGTGACGTAGACAGCAACACCCTGGGATTGGATAACGAGGCGGGCGAGCTTGTAAAGTCATCCTTCTCCATAAGATCTGTCCCGATGCTCAGTCCCCGGGCGGCAACACGACGGTGAACTGCAATCATGCAGTGGAAGTACGAATAATGTAGCAGGAGCAACACAGGCGATATTTTTGACCGGTGGCCATCAGCTACGGCCTTTTCAGGCTGATATTCTGGCGGAATGCTTCGTTTCCACTCTTGGAGCTTCTCGTCTAACACTCCGACTGAAGCGACGACCTGGCTCAGTGGCCGATCCTCCGCAGCGGGGGAGTAAAGGTCCCTATAAAGTTGCCCCTTGATCATAGCAAGTTGGCAAGTTGACCGGAACGCATTGAAATTCCCAGATAGATCACTAGTTGGCATATCATACTTGCTGTCGGTTGGTGCGTCCATTGGTAAAGTCGCGCTGAAGTCTTCATCGCTTTGCGCTGGCGGTTCACAGAACCGAAGGGATAGTCTGCCTAGAATTAGTCCCAAACTTAAGGGGTAGAATGCAATTCACAATAGCCATACTCTCGATCTAAGCAATAAGCGATCCAAAATACTGTCCGCTTGTGCTGGATCTCTTCCGAACACAAGGGAGAACCATCTTCTGTCTTGCCCAAGCCGAGTTCGTGACAGATGCGAATAGCAGCAGAGACCAAAAAGCCACAAGGAGTCTCAGCCGACGTTCCCAGAAGAAAGGTAGCCTATACCAAAAGTTAACTCGGGCCATGCGCCTAAACAAGTGAGTGTTGAATCATACCACTAGGAGGAGCGCTTGGAGACCCAAAAGGTCTGGTGGGCCAAGGCAGAGCTCATTCACCATTTCTAAGGCATTTTGGATGAACAACCAGCTTTTCTGATGATGATCTGCCCCAGATCCTTCATCTCGAGGGCGGATCATGTATGCTGTTGCTAGGACTGCGTTTATGCAGGCCCATTGGCTTGGTGTTTGAACTCTCATGTCCAAGCGTTTTTGACTGAAGAGAGATAGCAGCTCGGACCGCTGAAAAATTGGGAACAGCATATTAAAGTCCTCGATGTAGTCTTGCACGAGGGAGACAATCTCCTCTTTTGTTGGCAGTGAGCAAAACACTCGGCTGGGGAATGCGCCATCGAGAGGACCATTGGTTGTATTTCCATCAAGGTCTTTCGCCGACAGTAATGACGAGAGATTCCCTAACGACATGTTTCCAACTTTTTGAGATATCCACTCCAACCCCTTTTGAGAGATAGCCGAGAAACCTAGAATGATATTATTAGCTCACATATATCCCACTTATAAATCAAGTGTGTCGAATATACGGAAGTCTGACCTCCTGCAAGTGGTACATCGACCAACGACCGCGGAATGGAAAAAGATGCAAGACACGGCGGCCAATTCTCTACGTTTTTGTATGAGAATACTATGCCCGGATTAGCACCAGTACTGCTAGTATTGCCCATGAGGTTTGGCTCCCGGCCAGCGCAAAAATTTCCAAACCCCGGGTCACTTGCGGTATTATTATCGGAGCGTTCTAATACAGGGACATTTGAGCACAGAAATTCTTGAGTAGCAGTCGTGTTACTCTCGCCCAGTCTAAGCCCCATATCGTATAATCGAGACTCCATCCGTTCGATGTTCGTTTCCAGTCGGTTGATCATCACACGTCTTCACTCAGCATGTAAGACTTTTGCCCCTGCAAAAACATAATATTGACACTTCAGTTCTACAGTACCTTCTCATATCTGCCCTGTATCTCTCCTCATTGCGCGTACCAGAAGCTCGTCGCTCTCGACACGTAGAGCATCTGAGCGTTGCGCTGAAGTCGCCACCCTGTTTCTTGCGACGGCATGCATTGCAAACCTGGGGTTCATCAGTAATGTATTGTGGTCATATGAACCGGACCGCGCACTTTATGTCTCAAAGGTTCCTGTTTCGCAACCCCTATATCTGCCTGCGCAAGTGTCCTGGTCATGGAATCATGGGGTATATGCCGACGAGAATCATTTTGCTGGCTGCTGCGACTCATTATTCGAAAATTTGGGAAGTCGATAAGTACTATATCTATGTGATGATGTTAAGAAAAGGTGAAATGGAAGGAATGGGGAAAGACCCCAAGGATTTGTCGTGGGGCATCATGACCTGGGACAATGGTCTGGAGCGGAGCAACCACTGTCGATCTCGAGATGTACTACGGAGTAGGGCAGGCCTTATTCGGGAAATCCACCAGCCGAATCATGTCGCAGAAGCCTATGGCCGGGTTGTTGCTGGGACTAAATCCTTCGCATGTCTTGGCAGGCCCGGATGGCGGATGTTCGTTCTGTATTGTAAGTTACACGGTATTGATACATCTCAAGTTTGCCGGACCATTGACTCCCGTTCATCTCCGAAGAGATGGGATCGATTTGATGACCGTCTGCTAATCGGCTCCAGGCTGCAGCCAGGTGGAGCACCCACGTTTTGCATCCCTCAAGGTACATATATATACCATCAGCATGCCCCGTCCGGTGATGTGGTTGGCTCGGAAATCGGGTGTCTAAACCATAAGCTCTTCTAGATCACATAACTAATATGGTAGGGCTCGACATATCAGGACAGCCATATTCCGATAAGGCATTGCTCGGGCCCCGGACGTTCGCTGTGCAGCGGAGCGTTCATCCGCATCGTTTATCATGATTTTGCCCCTTGGATGTGGAACCCTTCTCGCCGGTTGCATGCGCGTAGATGATTAGACTGGGGTCCTATATAATCATCTCCTTGCCCCTGTGGCAGTTGTATCCTTAATTAGACGAACTAATTCAAGTCTTTTCAAGCAAGGTCTTTAGTATATCTATTGTTCGATTAACGTAAAGCTTTGGTCCCCACTGACACAAAGGCAAATTTCGGCTCTTGTGTCGCACGTTTCGTGCATCGTTGGTTACGCCAAGGTAACATTGCCGACTGATTTTCGGTCTGCATCGTCAATGGGAGGACTAGCCTAAAGCCGGAGGCCAGTCAAGTCAAAATGTCCTTCTTAGGGACAGTCAATCCAAACGATCCTCGGCAGCAGTCTGTGGTTAGTCATAACAACCCTCTGCGGAGCCATGGCGATACAGATGAGGACAATCCAGTTTATGATACTCCATCAACTTCAGGCACTCAGTACGCTGATCGAGAAAAGAGTGACGATGCGTTGACGCTGCAGGAAGACAACGAAGAGAAGATGGAGGTTCGCGTGGGTGATTTAGCTCGACGACTCACCCGTCAATCGACTCGAATCTCTGCGAAAGGCGCCCTCGAAAATCCATTCTTTGTGGAGGATCCTGAATCTACTCTCAATCCTGACAGTCCAAATTTCAAGCCAAGAGACTGGCTTAAGATGTTGCTTGCCATTCGCTCTCGAGACCCTGAGCAGTACCCAGACCGAACAGCCGGTGTTGCCTTCAAGAATCTAAACGTCCATGGATTCGGGTCTCCAACAGACTACCAAAAGGATGTCTTGAACTCGCTCCTAGAGATAGGTACTATTGTCCGCAAGTTGATGGGAATCAAGATGCAAAAGATCCAGATTCTTCGGGAATTCGATGGCTTGGTGAAAAGTGGTGAGATGTTGGTGGTGTTAGGAAGACCGGGAAGTGGATGTTCCACGTTCCTCAAGACGATTTCTGGTGAGATGAACGGGATTCAGATGTCAGATGACTCGACACTCAACTATCAGGGTATGCATACCCAGTTTCCTTCTTTAACTCTCCACCTTTACCAACCTACCCTTTCATTTGTGGAGACTAACCGCGCTGCTTAGGTATACCTGCAAAATTGATGCACCATGCATTCAAGGGTGAAGCGATTTACTCAGCTGAAACTGATGTTCATTTCCCACAGCTTTCTGTTGGTGATACTCTGAAGTTCGCAGCACTTGCCCGAGCTCCTAGAAATCGCTTAGAGGGCGTTAGTCGGCAGCAGTACGCTGAACATATGAGAGACGTGGTAATGACAATGCTTGGACTATCCCATACGATCAATACTCGTGTCGGCAACGACTATGTCCGTGGAGTCAGTGGTGGAGAGCGAAAGCGTGTCAGTATTGCGGAAGCCACCCTAAGCCAGGCACCGCTTCAATGCTGGGATAACAGCACCAGAGGTCTTGATAGTGCGAATGCTTTGGAATTTTGCAAGAACCTAGCCTTGATGAGTAAATACGCTGGCACTGCTGCCTGCGTAGCTATTTATCAGGCATCGCAAAGTGCATATGATGTGTTTGATAAGGTGACGGTACTCTATGAAGGAAGGCAAATCTATTTTGGCCGAACGACGGAGGCTAAACAGTTTTTTGTGGATATGGGATTTGAGTGCCCTGACCGGCAGACAACAGCTGATTTCTTAACGTCCCTTACCAGCGCTTCAGAAAGAAAGGTCCGCCCAGGTTTTGAAAGCCGCGTGCCTCGCACTCCGGATGAGTTTGCTGCCGCATGGAAACGAAGCGACGCTCGGGCGAAGCTGGTTATGGAAATCGACGAGTTTGAGAAACAGTACCCAATTGGCGGCGCTTCCTATCAATCCTTTATTGATGCTCGCAAAGCTATGCAGGCAAAGCATCAACGCGTCAAATCCCCATACACAATCTCGATATGGGAGCAAATCTCTCTTTGCGTTGTCCGCGGTTTCCAGCGCCTCAAAGGTGATTCCAGTTTGACGATAACTGCCTTGATTGGCAACTTTATTATAGCCTTAATTGTTGCTTCAGTTTTCTTCAACCTCAAGGATAATACCGACAGCTTTTACTCTCGAGGAGCTTTACTGTTCTATGCAGTGCTTCTGAATGCGTTCTCTAGTGCTCTGGAAATTCTGACTCTGTACGCCCAACGGCCGATTGTGGAAAAGCAAGCTCGTTATGCCTTCTATCATCCATTTGCAGAGGCTGTTGCATCTATGCTGTGTGATACGCCTTACAAAATCATTAACTCAATCACTTTCAATCTCCCATTGTACTTTATGACCAACCTACGGCGTGAGGCAGGAGCCTGGTGGACATTCTGGCTCTTTTCAGTGGTTACAACCTACACCATGTCAATGATCTTTCGAACGATTGCAGCGACATCTCGCTCTCTGTCTCAAGCACTTGTCCCTGCGGCAATCTTGATCCTGGGTATGGTGATCTATACTGGTTTTGTTATCCCTACCAGAAATATGCTCGGCTGGTCCCGTTGGATGAACTACATCAACCCCATATCTTACGCCTTTGAGAGCTTCATGGTCAATGAGTTCCATGGCCGTCACTTCGAATGCTCTCAAATTATCCCATCTGGAGGAACTTACGAAAGTATGCCGATGCAGAATCGGATTTGCTCTACAGTTGGAGCGGAGACTGGTTCAACGATTGTGCAGGGCTCAGTCTATCTTGAACAGAGCTTTCAGTATGTCAAAGGGCATTTGTGGAGAAACCTGGGTATTATGATCGGCTTCCTAGTTTTCTTTGCTTTCACGTACCTTGCATCTACGGAATATATCTCAGAGCAGAAATCGAAAGGCGAAGTGCTCTTATTTCGCCGTGGGCATCAGCCTAAAGTAGCCCTGGATATGACCGATCCGGAGTCGCCCGAGCCGAGTGGTGCACCGAAAACCGAAGAATCTGCTCCTCAAGCGTCAGCGGGAATCCAAAGACAAACCGCAATCTTTCAGTGGAAGGATGTCTGTTACGATATAAAGATCAAGGGGCAACCTAGGAGGATTCTGGACCACGTTGACGGTTGGGTTAAGCCTGGTACCTGTACCGCCTTGATGGGTGTCTCAGGAGCAGGTAAAACAACGTTATTGGATGTGCTCGCTACACGCGTTACTATGGGAGTTATTACTGGCGAGATGCTTGTGGATGGACGTCCTCGTGACCAATCCTTCCAGCGTAAAACAGGATACGTGCAGCAGCAGGACCTTCACTTAGCTACATCTACTGTTCGCGAAGCCCTCCGATTTAGTGCGATATTACGTCAGCCAGCACATGTCAGCCACCAGGAGAAACTTGACTACGTTGAGGAAGTTATTAGACTCCTTGGTATGGAGGCTTATGCTGATGCAGTTGTTGGAGTGCCTGGAGAAGGTTTGAATGTGGAACAGCGCAAGCGTCTGACTATTGGAGTTGAGCTTGCTGCAAAACCCCAGCTTTTGTTGTTTTTGGATGAACCGACATCTGGTCTCGATAGTCAAACCTCCTGGTCAATCCTGGATTTGATTGATACTTTGACCCAACATGGTCAGGCAATTCTTTGTACTATTCATCAGCCCTCTGCAATGTTGTTTCAACGTTTTGATCGCCTTCTTTTCTTGGCTAAAGGTGGAAAGACGATCTACTTTGGTGAAATTGGCCAGAACTCGTCTACCTTATCCAGTTACTTTGAACGCAATGGCGCACAGCCTCTATCTCCTGGAGAGAATCCAGCCGAGTGGATGCTGGATGTGATTGGAGCAGCCCCGGGATCTCACAGTGATATAGACTGGCCGAAGGTGTGGCGCGAAAGCCCCGAGCATGCGAAGGTCAAAGAACATCTTGCCGAGTTGAAGTCAACTTTATCTGTCAAGCCAGAGGAGAGCTCTGACCCAGAGGCCTTCAAGGAATATGCGGCACCATTCTACATTCAATTATGGGAATGCCTGATCCGTGTCTTTGCTCAATATTACCGCACGCCAAGCTATATCTGGTCTAAAACAGCCCTTTCTATTCTGACCTCCATTTATATCGGATTCTCCTTTTTCCACGCCAAGAACTCAATTCAAGGGATGCAGAATCAGATGTTCAGCGTATTCATGTTGATGACGATCTTCGGTAATTTAGTACAACAGATCATGCCTCATTTCGTCACGCAACGGTCACTATATGAAGTCCGTGAGCGTCCATCGAAAACATATTCCTGGCAAGCCTTCATGACAGCTAATATTCTTGTTGAATTACCCTGGAATACTCTAATGGCAGCACTGATGTTCTTCTGCTGGTACTACCCGATCGGGCTATATAATAACGCGAAGCCTACCGATGCAGTGACTGAACGAGGAGGTCTTATGTTCTTACTTATCTGGGTATTCCTACTCTTCACTTCTACTTTTGCCCATATGGTTATAGCAGGTATAGAGCTGGCTGAGACAGGTGGTAATATTGCTACTTTGCTCTTCTCTCTCTGTCTTATCTTCTGCGGTGTCCTTGCAACCCCAGATGCAATGCCTGGATTTTGGATCTTCATGTACCGTGTATCACCGTTCACTTACTTGGTCTCTGCGATGTTGTCTACCGGTTTGTCCGGGACAGATGTTCAGTGTGAGGCAGTTGAGTTTCTCCACTTTGATCCCCCGGCAAATCAAAGCTGCCAGCAATATATGGCAGCATATATCACGAAAGCCCAGGGTTACTTGCAGGACCCGGAAGCCACAACAGATTGTGCTTTCTGCACGGTCAGCAAAACTGACACATACCTTGCGGCGATATCTAGCAGCTTTGATGATGCCTGGAGGAACTTCGGTCTTATGTGGGTGTACATCGCGTTCAACATTGCCGCAGCAGTTTTCATATACTGGCTGGCCCGTGTCCCTAAGGGAAAACGAGCATCTGGTTCTACCTAGAGTAGGTTTACCTACACCCCTCGCTTTGACTCTCTATTCGAGGCCGGTATAAACTATTGTGGATATCAGTGAAATATTTCTTGGGATAGAACTTGTTACTGCCCTTCAAGACGAACATTCAGTTTGTACTTTTCCCTCTTTTTACTTCTCGCCTCCATTTAATTGGCTTTTGTATTTCATTCGACCTTGAGCCAAGAATCGGTTCCTTTTTTTCTTACCTTGTCTTTCATTCTTATACATCTACATGTCCCTATATTATTTTGGAAACACTATATAGAACACCTCTCTTTTCTTTAATCATTTTGACATATTTTTCAATACATTAATTGCATGTCCAGTACATACCGTCGTGCACAGCATTCTTTTTTGGGTCAAGATAACACCACCTTGAAGCTGAAGGTGTATTTATGTACATATACGCTTCCAATTTCCCCTGTATATACAGCACCATAGAGAGGATAGCAAACTAGCAATCAGATAACGATACAGCTACATCCTTAGCGCCAATCACCCGAATTAGAAGAAATGAGATCATAATGGCTCTCGAAGCGAAAGCCACTATAGGTCAAATTATAGGATGAGTGGAGTTAACTCTAGTCTACTACGAGTAGCAGACACTTTTAGTATGTTGGCGATTTATGCTCCGTAGGTCGGACAGTGCGCCACGGTTCAATATCGGAATTCCAAGGTTCTCTGAAACGGACGTACATGAGTTACCACCCGAACAATGACTCTATTTGAAGTTTGAGGAAAGCTTTGTGGTCAATATCAAACTTGTATAACATGCGGATGATTTGATAATAGATTATCTTTTGTCCCGCGGCTGAAACTAACGTTTCAACTCGTACTGCAGAGCTTCAAGGATAGACGTCTCGACCCTCAACTTGTATCTTTTGAGAAGGGTATGTATAAGCCAAACATATCTGTTTACTTCATTGTGCATGATGAAACATACGTGAAAAATATAGGAATGGCGGCAGATGTGCTATCAGGCTCGGTAGTGGAAAAGGTAACGAATTCCCGGACCTTCCCCTGTCATCAAATGAAAACGCCGTCAGAAAGCCAAAAAACCTCGGATTACAACATACAGAGCCAAATCATATCTTATTATAACCGTACAGGAGAGATTTTGTACCAATACCTCTTCTCCGGTCTCTCTTTGCGAGCCATACTGCAATATTCAATCCCGGCTCAAACGAAGGTCGACACCGGACGAAAGCATCCCAACGCCGAAATATCCAGTTGCCAAGAAAGGAAAAGCAAACACCATGAGACTAGGCTACGCGCTAATCGTCGCACTGCATCCTGAACTCCTATTTTGGGTTAAGTTTATCAGCACATACCCATAATTAGTTGCCCGGCGCTTACTATGTATTCTGGTTGGATGATGGACCGATACTTAATGGCCGTTGAGCTGGCGCCTATCTCACCCTCCGAATTCCTACAATTCTCCTCCCTACACCGATGGCTCACCAGGAAGTTCAGACAAAATGGGATTCCATATCAAAAAGCTCTTCAGGAGGGGCCGCCCTAAGAAGTCAGAAAAGGAAACCGACAATCCAAGCCAAGGCCAGGCGAATACAAATAGTGTATCACCTAATAGTGGTGCGTCGTCGGGCGCAGGCGCCCATGCAGCTATTGAAGAACCAGAGAATATTCCCCTGAATCAAGAGCAAAGTTATACGACAGAAAGTTCAGACTCGGCTCAGTCAGACCAACAGTATTTGTGGAAGGCCGCCTATGCGAACCTGGATCCCGAGGACCAACACAGGTTGACGCTACTCCATGAATCAAACGGGGACAACCATGTCAACCGCGAGTCTCAGATGGTGGACACAGTAAATATGGTTATTGAGACGACGAAGAAGCAGTACGATGAGCATCAAAGAAGGGGGTTGAAGATCAAAAGATCAAGAGGAGACGACATCAACATCCGAGATTCTGCTCTCAAGATAGTCAGTGCGACATTGTCTTTCAGGGACATCATCAGTGCTGTTGCTGTTTTTGACCCCACAGGGTATGCGGACAAAGTCTGGGGATTAGTATCGGTGGGACTAGGTGTACGTGAAATCGTTCCATGGTGGTACTTACACAAGATTAGCTAATTGAGAGCCAGATGGTCCAGAATCATCAAGATTTGCAAGCTTCAATTTTCCAAGCGTCGGGGTTCCTCACAGATGTTTTGAGTCGATGCGCGTTTATCGAGATTGACTGCTCGGGCCGAAGCAGCAACCTCAGGATGAAAGAGATGCTCCGTAGTGCTATCATCCGTGTGTACACTTCCATCCTACGTTATTCAGCTAAGGTTATGTCAACTCAACAATCAGGGGCTGGGAGAAAGTTTCTCCTAAGTGTGACAGACCTTACTGATCAACCACTGAGCATACTCAAGGCCGCCATCAGCGAGGAGGAGGCGCAGTTAGAGAAATGGGTCTCAATTGATCAACGACTGTTCTGGAAAGAAAAGGCCGAGGATATCCTTTGTCAAATTGACAACGTGCTAAGCGGCATCCAGGATATTAGTCGAGAGTTGGAACTCTGTCAACTAACTATGGCGGACGGTGCTGCTTTTGATTCGTACAAAAATCAACATGAGGTTGAGTGTCTCCCAGGAACTAGAACAGATCTGTTGAAGCATATCACAGACTGGTCACACCTCTCCCAGAGCGAACGTATCTTTTGGTTAAATGGAATGGCCGGAACAGGTAAATCTACTGTTTCACGTACAGTTTGCAGACTGCTCCAGGAAAATGGCCTTCTAGGGGCAAGTTTCTTCTTTAAGAGAGGAAAGACGGACTGTGGGACAGCTGAAAAGCTCTTTCCGACCATAGTACGACAACTGATTATTCATGAACCTCGGCTGATACCCAGCATCAGAGGGGCAATTCAGAGAGATCCTTCTATATCTACGAAATCTCTCGTAGAGCAGTTCAACAGGTTACTGCTTGAGCCGCTATCCACCATCAAGGATGACGGAGCCGGAGACTCAGTTCTGGTAATAGTGATTGATGCGTTGGATGAATGTGATTCGGAAAATGATATTGAGCTTTTACTTCGCCTTTTGCCCATGATGCCACCGTCAAGTTCGATATCCATTCGAATCTTCCTGACCAGCCGCCCAGAGCTCCCAATCCGTCAGGGATTCGATAGTGTTTCGAGGGACGCTCATCGTGATTTCAGCATCCATCAGATTGTAGAGTCTTCCGTTAAGAACGATATCTTGCTGTTCATATCTGATAGATTCGAAGAAATAAGACGAAAACACTCGCTTCCTCAAGAATGGCCCGGAGAGAAGACAATTCTGGACTTGGTCAACGTCGCGAGTCCATTATTCATCTCAGCCGCTACTATGTGTCGCTTTATTGCAGATAGAAAATGGGACCCAGAGAAACGCCTAGCCCTTGTTCTAGGATCAGGAACCCGGTCGGACACAGCTACAAGTCATATCTCAAAACTTGAGCATACTTATATTCCGGTCTTCGAGCAAATTCTCCGTAGCGGAGACGAGGACGAAGATGAAGACGAGAGAGAGCAGCTGATTCATGAATATCGTGTGATTGTTGGCACAATCATCACCCTTGCCAATCCGCTTTCACTCATATCCCTAGCAAGCCTCCTAGAGATCCCGTCCAGTGATGTGAATCGTAGATTGGACTTTCTACATTCGGTTTTGAGCATCCCCAATGACCAAGATACTCCTATACAGATATTTCATCAATCATTTCGGGACTTTCTTCTTCATCCCAAGATCCGTACAAAGACTGATTTCTGGATTGATGAGAAGCAGACGCAGAAGGAGACATTACTCAGATGCATTAATGTGATGACCAGAGCAAAGGGCGGACTTTCTAGAAATATTTGTCAATTGCCAAATGACGGAGTATTGCGAGATGAGATAAGTGACAAAGTCATCAGGGACCATATTCCAGCAGAACTTCAGTACTCGTGTCATTACTGGATACAGCACCTAGAGCGGGGAAGCTATCGCATTACCGATCAAGATGATATCCACAATTTTTTGGAAACACATTTCCTCCACTGGTTGGAAGCAATGAGTATCCTGGGCTTGGCATCAGAGATTGTGAGCGGCATCAGGACATTACAAACCTCAGTGCAGGTAGGTTTAACATCTCATAAGATCGGAATAACTCGCCTTCTGAGCTCACGTTGACCTGCTTTAAGCCTGATTCTTGTTCAAAAGTATCAGCATTCCTTTACGATGCAAATCGCTTCATTTTAAAGAACATATGGATTGCCAACACTGCACCCCTTCAGTTCTACTCCGCTGCCCTGATATTTGCACCGCGAATGTCTGTTGTGAGGAAGACATTCCAGAGTGAGATATCTAGGCAATTTGTCACATTGCCTAGAGTGGAACTAAATTGGGATTCACAACTCCTGACTTTGGAACATACTAAGGATGTGAATGTAGTGGCATTCTCGCCAGACGGTAGACTGGTAGCCTCTGGTTCTAACGATTACACTGTGAAGCTCTGGGATCCAAAAACAGGGCTTTTACTACACACGTTTAACCACAACTATGACGTGTCAGCCGTGGCATTCACAACGGATAGTAAGTTGGTGGCGTCCAGCTCTGATGAGCATATCCAGCTGTGGGATATTGCTGTAGGCGCACTGCAGAGAACTCTGTCAGACCACACTTCTACCGTAACAGCACTGGCGTTCTCACCAGATGGTAAGCGACTGGTCTCGGGGTCCAACGATAATACAATCAATATTTGGGATCTAGCTACCTATGCAGTATTACAAACTCTGAAGGGCCATGGGGATTTCGTTGAAGAAGTGTCAATTTCACCAAATGGAAAGCTTATAGCATCCGGCTCTTTGGATTGTACGGTCAGGATTTGGGACTTGGATACAGGAGCCCTGCTGTGGACCTCTGAGCACGACGACTTTGTCAGAGGGGTGAGATTTTCACCCAATAACGAGCTCGTAATCTCGGGCTTTAAGAGCGGAACAGTGCGGTTATGGGATGCTGCCACAGGCAGACCGAGAAAAACTTTTAGTGCCGGCCGGATTTCTTCTTTGGCATTTTCGCCCGATGGAAGGCTGGCGACTGCTGGCGGTCAGGATCTCCAATTATGGGACAAGCCCATGGACAGGCCGATTCAAACGTTTGAGGGCCATGCTCGCGAAATCTTTGGAGTAACCTTCTCACCACATGGTGAGCTGCTAGTGTCATGTTCTGCGGATGGTACTGTACGGGTCTGGGACACAAACCTGGTTGCAGCGCACAAAGCTCTCCGAAAACATTCCTATGAGGTCGCTGCCACTAGAATCTCGCCAGATGGCAAACTTCTAGGGTCAGGTTCCACTGATTATAAGATTCAACTATGGGACATTGCAACAGGCATGGCACTACATATACTGGATGATTACTCAGGAAAGTCAAACACATTCGCCTTTTCACCAGACAGCAGTCTGGTGACTTTTCGCCTGAAATCTGACAGCACTTGTATTCAGTTGTGGAGCACGGTTACAGGTGAGCTTTACCAAACACTCGGAGATCATCCGAGTGCGGTTGATCGTGTCATATTTTCTCCCAATTATCAACAGCTGGCCTCAATCGACGAAGAATGGACAATTACCCTATGGGACATAAAAACAGGAGAACGACTCTATTCCCTGGACGGAGGTGGGAGTTGGGTGTGTATAGCATTCTCACCAAGTGGCACAAAGCTAGCATCAAGCTCGGGTGATGTGCTGCGGGTGTGGGATACAAACACAGGCACATTACAGCAAGAGCTAAAAGGAGACAAACACAAAATCACAGCGGTGGCATTTACAGGCGATGAAAAGTTCATAGCAACAGGCTCTATTGACGCAAAAGTCCGCATTTGGGATTTAGCCACAGACACACTATCTCAAACTTTCCAGGATTGCGGAGCAATCAATCAACTAGCTATCTCTCCAAATGGGAGATTCGTCGTATCAGGGACGCTTTCCCAAACAATTCGTCTATGGGATAGGGACACCGAAGAACTGATCTATTCTTCTAATGGTAAATCTACTCATTATCGAAACGGAATTGGTCAGTTGCGCTTTTCATCTGATGACAACTATGTGGAAGCGGACTTTGGTACAATTCGTATTGGTCCAAGTCGAAATGCCGGAGATGCCAGCTTCTTACCTCGGCGAAAAGATATGGTATTGGGTGACCAATGGTTATACGTTGGACAAGAAAGGGCTCTTTGGTTGCCAGTTGAGTACCGACCAAAAGTAGCAGCCTACCACAACGGTACAATTGGCATCGGAAATGTATCTGGTCTAGTATCAATCATCGGTGTCGATATCGATAAAACGGATGGCCATGCTTGACCTCTTTCAGACGACCCGTACATATCCTTCTTTACTCAGAAGATAACCGACGCTTCGTTCATTATGCAGGCAATGCGGAGGGTACAGACTGGCTCTCTGATGCACATAATAAGTATTCTTTTTAAGCGTTGAGACAACGTACGAATTCAAATTATTATATTGAGGCCCTGCCCTCTGACAATCATACAGCTCTGGAAAAAAAAGGGGGGGAATAAAGGAACGATACCATTACACAGGTTGCTTGGGCGATTTTCTTTTTGTGGCCAATTCCTGCAAGTGACGATTGGAAGTCGGTAAATACAACATTGGCCTGAAACACGTACATACATCAAGGGCAGTTGAACCAGTCAGATATATAAGCGTCCCTATATATGGTCAGCAAAACAGTTATTTTTTGGTATAGATTATCCTAAGTCAATTAAATAATGTGGGACCACAACAAGGAAATAGTCCAGGTAAAACTAGAGTGATTGACGGGTCAAGTTCGGGTTCAAGTTTTACCTTAGATTCCGATGTAAGCAGTTTAGGGATATTGAAGGTATATCTAGGAATTAGGTACCAAAGAATATGAGACCCTTGCAGCGCATGATGTGAGATATAAATCCAATCAAATCGTTTATGCACGAGCGCAATGTAAGGGTAAACCAAGTCAAACAAAAACAAGCTAATCCTTATATGATCCATGGAATAATCCTTGCAGTCTTCCGGCGATAGTGGGCCCATGTTTCTCCAAAATCCTCCTTCAATAGCTTCTCTTCGTGGAAGATCTGACTAGGCAAAATATATACGACCAATAACACCCGGAACCCGACATCAGAGAACCATAAGAAAGCAAAGATATAATGGAAGAGGTGGTTGTCGCTCCAGCAGCCCGGAATACCATCTCCCCGCAGGACTAACCGTCCTAGGGCAAGCTCAACAGAAACCCCCCAATGTAACTGGGGTGCTGAATCACGGAATAGACTCATGTGGTCATTAAGCATGATGGAAGCGAAAGCTCAAATGTGAACCTTGTCCTAGCTGTCTTATAGCAGCAACACGAAGTATTCCACCAATAACAGCGACGCAGGCAAAGTAGAGGACTCCTTTCACCAAGTGAAAAGGTCTGGGTTGAGCTTAGGTGAGCTTGGGGCACATGGTCGAGGACGGTTCGGGGTAGATCCGCGCGATAGGCGTTTTTATAAAGTAGCTTTAGGGGTGACCGTACGTTCTAGGCCGCTCCTTCTCGCCAACATGATGCAGCTATGCCGGCACGTTGCCAACAGGTTATTGCTCTCATCTAGCATTTGCATCTCCATATCAAAGCGGCCATTAAGTAGGCTCCGCATCCTTGAACGAACAAGTACCCACTCCTTTCCAGTTGGGTCTTCGCGAATGTCCAAGGACAGACTGACCGTAGGAAAGGCCCACGTTTCAGTGGCTTTCAGACCTTGAGGATCATAGTTCATAGGAAGGGCAGGAACCTGTGCTCAGAATAAGCCGATCGTCAATATTCAAACTGGGGTGAATCCTAGTACCGAATCGGCGAGCAATCCCAGATACTCCATGTTAAAGGTCTCATTCTCTCCAGCTACCTTTGCCCACTGATCCCGAGCGTTCTGTCCCCGGGCAGGGCTCCATAAGGGGGTGGGCCCGCCTTTTGGAACAAGGAATTTGAAGCGAGCGCCGGGAGGATTTAAATTTGGATCAAAGTAATCATGCTTCCATGGAACACAATCCTTTAGTCTGTTTGGTATCGGCTTTGGTTGCAAGCTGATGCTTGGTCCAGTTCGTCGATGCAAATTCCCGAGAGTAATGATGGATAATATATACGGACTCGAAACTGCAGTATCCCTTGGACATAGTTTCGCTTCAATAACGGAGAATCGGGAGCCTTTCCGTATATCCTCAAAACTAATTTTGAACGGTCCATAGGGGAGAGGCCTTAAGAACTGAATATGGAGAGAGACGCAGTGAGCTTGGTTTGACCGCGGATGTTTTGAGCCAAAGTATTTCCCACCACCACTGACTATCAGGGCAGTGCAAAACCCTCCATAGGCTTGAAGGCCAAGATCCCCTTTGCGTGTGGCATGAGTCAATATATTCAAGATCAAGTGGTTTAGGGTTTGTATGGCTGCGTACCGTTGGTACACCAATCTTCAGGTAGATAACCCAGGAAGCAGCTATCTTCATTTTCTGAAGCTGTAAGTTTAATAGCATCCTCTAATGGAGTTAATCTGCAGGTCTGTGGTTGCCTATCAGATACCACCGATGAGGCGCTGATGGGTATGTCCTTTGGCGACATCAGAGTATCGATTCTTGAGATAACATGTATAGAGCACCTTAGGGACACCTTGCTTCACAACTCTCCTGACTATCATAAATAATCACATTTAACCAATGTCGAGAATAGAAGGGCTTTATGCAAGGGTCGGAATAGTGCACCAGGAATCAAATAGCGAGGTATGTAGGCATATGTCAAGAAAGTATGTTACTCCGGAAGGTGGAGTTCTGAAAATCAAGGAACTTGGAAAAAGGTGGGTGGCTCGTTTGACAGTTAAATGTTGGCAGCTTGACAAGCGCTTTGACCGTCGCTATTGCCGTGCGCTTTGAATGTGCCTCGGTCCGATAGGTCAGTTGGTCAAATCACGTTGAGCTTTTTTATATAAAGTAACAGATGAGTTTTGTATGTTACAGAATGTCCTAACTCAATCAATCAATTTGTGAGTCGCTGAAATACATTCATATATCCGCCACTACCAACGACCCATCCTACCATCAACCATGTATACAGTTCGCCTTCCACAGAAAGTAAGCTATACTAATTCACTTCCAACATGCTTTAAAAGACCATTTCCTGCCTCGCCAACATCCCGCCCACAAACATATATCAAGCTAAAGCAGCAGCCGCATGTTTAATAACTTCGACAACCCTACTCGGTTGGCTCAAATGCGGCATATGACCCGCACTGCACCGCTCAATCCTACTACCAGCCAACCCAGCAAGCTGCTCCTGTAGGAAAGCCGGAATAATCTGATCCTGCTCACAAAGGAGATACACACTCTCTACATCCCTCCAGCCAGAATATGTCGTCGTCCCATTCCAACCCTGGGCAGGCTGAGGCTTAAGCACCTCCAACCATTTCCCTTTTTCCTCCTCATCAAGATCATTAAAGAGTGTCCGTTCTGGCTGTACACAGTGTAATGCTCCTCCCTGCATAGAAATATCAAATTCAGCAATCACCAACCCCAGTTTATCATACCAAAAACCCCTCCCCTCCCCACCTCCATCCCCACCGCCATC